TTTACCTCTATCCTTATTCCTTATTAGAATATACTCCTACTCCCCCTTCAGGCCGGCCGATAGGGGCCGCATCCGGGTGGTCCATCCTAACCAATAAAAAACAATACAAAATCAACATTTTTTGGATTTTTTCCTCTCGGCATGGACGTCCTGTCGTCCACGGCGATAATCCATTGCAAAAAGTACCACAAACAGCACACGCGCGCGTTCATGTCAGAATCCTACCGAACACCGTGTGTTTGCAAGCATTTCAACATAAAAACATCAAAAACCCAATGCTTTTTTCACAAAAATTGTACAAATTTCCCGCCCGGGCTCTCTTGCTGAAATCATAGGAAAACCATAGGAATCTCAAGAATTCTGTCAAATCCAGCGATTTCACGTCATCGCGCGGTGCACTCGCGATGCTCTGTCATGCACCCAGGCCGCGAATCCTGTGCAAAAAATACCACAAAGAGCACACTCGCGCGTTCATGTCAGAATCCTACCGAACACCGTGTGTTTGCAAGCATTTCAACATAAAAACATCAAAAACCCAATGCTTTTTCACAAAAATGCTTTGGGGTGTCCTGTCAGACCGTCGGGCTTCCTCCGGCCACCTCTGGCTTCCTGCGGTGTACCGGGCCATTCTCGACTCGTCTGGCAATGCGTGCGCGGCATTCAACACGCGCTCGCCAGTTCCCGTCGGCAACCGCCATCGCGGCCGCATCAGCTGTACCAAACCGGCTGGCCGGTGTTACTTCGGCCCCCAGTTGTGCCAGCTTTGCTTCTTATGTTGTGGGAGGGCGGGTGGGACTGGGCATGCCATGCTTGACTCGCTCGAGCTGGCTAGCTTGACCTTTACCTTTTACCCTTACCCTTACCATTCCCATTTCCGTTACCACTACCACTGCCATTTCCATTCCCGTTCCCATTCCCACTCCCATGCCCATTCACATTCCCATTCCCGTTCCCATTCCCATTCACATTACCATTACCATTACCTTTGCCATTGCCATGGCCATTACAATTGCCATTGCCATGCCCATTGCCACTGCCATTGCCATTACTATTACCGTTGACATTGTCATTGCCATTGCCATTGCCATTGCCAACCGCTACCCCGTTACCACTATTATTACCGTTACCATTACCAGCACCATTAATATTACCTCTGTCATTACCATTACCATTCGCATTGAAATTGCCATTGCCATTCGCCACTACCCTGACCATTGCCAGTACCATTTCCATTGCCATCCCCATTCCCATGACCATTGCCATTATCATTTCCATTCTCATTACCATTCCCATTACCTGTGCCTCTATCTTTACCTTTACCCTTACCCTTATCATTCCCATTTCCGTTACCACTACCACTACCACTTCCATTCCCGTTCCCGTTCCCATTCCCATTCCCATTCACATTCTCATTCCCGTTCCCATTCCCACTACCATTGCCATTACCATTACACTTATCATTGCCGTTGCCATTGCCATGGCCATTATCATTACCATGGCCATTGCCAATCCCATTGCCATTGCCATTACCATTACCGTTGCCAATGTCATTGTCATTGCCACTCGCTACCCCGTTACCATTACCATTACCGTTACCATTACCATTACCAGTACCATTACCATTGCCTCTCTCATTACCAGTACCATTACCATTACCATTACCATTACCATTGCCATTGCCATTGCCATTCGTCACTACCATTACCATTGCCAATTCCATTTCCATTCCCATGACCATTACAATTACCATTGCCATTACCGCTAACATTACCGTTAGAATTCCCATTATCATTCCCATTCCCAATACCATTACCATTTCCATTTCCATTACCAGTGCCATTACCATTACCACGACCATTATCGTTTCCATTCCCATTCCCGTTCCCGTTCCCATTCCTACTCCCATTCCCATTCCCATTGCCATTACCATTACCATTACCACTGCCATTGCCATTACCATTACCATTACCTTTACCTCTACCTTTACCTTTACCCGTATTATATGTATCCCGGGCCTGCTCCCCTGGGATACATATATATATGAAACGCCCAGTCCATTTTCCGCCAGGCGTGCGAAGCGATGCTATCTCTGGCGTCGACAAGTCTTCCGACTTTGCAATCACAGATCACACAGACTCGAGCTCGAGGCAGCGCTTAACTTCAAAGATAAGCGGGCACCTGGTCACTTGGTTCGTTCTGCAATTTAAAAAGGAGAGGGCGGCGGTGGGGCAGACGGTTGGCCAGGAAAAACTACGGATCGGTGTTGACGGCGTGTTTCGGTCTTCAGCATATCATTAATCAGCAAGCTTATACAAATGAAACGCCCAGTCCATTTTCCGCCAGGCGTGCGAAGCGATGCTATCTCTGGTGTCGACAAGTCTTCCGACTTTGCAATCACAGATCACACAGACTCGAGCTCGAGGCAGCGCTTAACTTCAAAGCTAAGCGGGCACCAACTCTTTTTGCATAGAACGACTTCTCTCCAAAAACGCCACTGGCTTCAGCCGCACCAAATTGTCTGTACTCGCTGAACTTTCTTTTCTGCAAGCGCCAGCTGGAAGCAACGGACGATGCTAGTGCACAAATCAGCTGGGTAAGCTTCGGCCAAGAGCGTGTGAAAAATGCCGTCTGCATTTTTGCCCTGCAACTGATCATGAGGGCGGCCCGTGCGGGAGCAGATCCCGCGGGGGCCACGACAGAGGCGATGTAAAGGTTGGAGGTCCACATGATCGTATATGATGCGAGTGCGCTTTCGGCATGACTGGCCGAATTGACAAAAGTCTAACACGACAGAGCGGCATTTTCTTTGCAATCTCCTGAACTGAGACGTCAGCCAAATTCTAGACATGTGAGGATTCTCAATAGCTACTGGCACGCGCACGGCTTGGCACAAAGAAAATAGCGAGGCTGAAAACTTCATATGGGCGTTGCCGATCCTAACCTTTTCAGCGTCACGGGGCGCTAGGTCGGGCAACCCCATCACGTGCAGGTCACTTCGCAAGGGCGGAGGCCCTGGTCGAATGTCCCGCGCTCGGCTCCAGCTGTGGCAAGGGGTGCCCAGCCAGACGGCAGCAATCAGCCCGTTGTTGACCCAGCCTCGCACCAGGCGCTGCGTCCGCTGGCGAGTGAGGTCATACTCCTCTCCCCAGCGGATGTCCCACTCGAAAATAGCATAGCCTAGAGCGCGCTGCCGCCGTCGCCAGGCCCGGCTGAAGTTGCCGGAGCCGCTGAACACCTCGAGCGCTACGGCCCCGCCCGCACGGGCGGCAAAGGCCGGCAGTGCTCGCAGAGGATGTCGCCATGCTTCTTGGCGCGGACGACGGCGTGGTCGAGCGACGGCGGTGGCAACTTGATCAGCTGGTCGGCGACGCGGCCTCCTTTGCCGTACCCCGTCACCGAGCTGTCGCTTGCCCAGCGGCTGCGAGCCCTCACCTCCGCGATGCTGCGGCGGTAGCTGGCCAGGCCGACGGGCGCTCCGCCGCGCCGCAGCTGGTACAGGCCCGGCGGGCCCTCGAGGCCGAGCCGCTGGTCCGCCGTGCCGAGCGCCTGCGCCAGCTGCACGTACCGCACCTGCGCCACGAGGTCCCTGTCGTTGACGCCGGCCTCGAGCGGCTTCAGCACGTCCCTGATGAGGTGGCAGAACGGCAGGTCGCCCAGCACGCTCCTGTTGAAGGCGCCGTCCTTGCTGGGCGTCTTCTCCTCCATCGGAAACAGCACTAGCGACCGCGCGGTGTGGCCAGCCGCCCGCGCCGGCGGCACCACTTGCCGCCCGGTCAGCGACATCAGCTCCGCGGGCTGCAGGCCGACCACGAAGCTCACAAAGACGAGGCGGGCGGCGTGCAGGTCCTGGTTTGCCGCGGGCCTGTGTGCCACCGCGCAGGCGACCTCCCCCGGCAGCGGCAGCTGGCTCCGCGGCGACCCCAGCCGCCTCCACTCCCTCAGCGCCCGGCTGAACTGGGGCAGCCCAGCCGCGGACAGGAGCCGCGGGTAGTAGTACAGCAGCCGCGCCTTGAGCCTTGTCCCCTCCAGCGCGTCGCTGCCGTCGAAGACAGCGGGGTAGGTCCACTCCACGGCTGCCTCGTCGCCGTCCTGAGCGGTCTCGAGGCGCAGGCCCAGGGTCTCGGAGAAGATCCCGAACTCCACGAGCGCCGACTGGTAGACCCGCTGGTCGTGGTCGCCCGCGCTCTCCCTCTCGAGCAGCGAGGGGCCCTTGCTGACGGTCGCCCGCTTGTCCACGGGGAAATTCGTTTGCCGGGCAGCGGCGCGCTCCCCCCTCGTGGCCAGCTCCTCGGGCCGAGGCTTGGCTTGTCTCGCCGCTGCCTTTGCCCGGGCCCGCCCATGGGGTGGGCGCGGTCGCGCACCAGCCTGTGACAGCGCCGCCGCTCGCCACAGGGTCGGCGGCTCGCCCTGGACGGGTCGCCGCTCCGCAGCCCCGCCCGGCCTCACCAGGCTGTCGGTCGCCAGGACCGCATCCCACGGGGCCGACGGGATCGGGGCACCTGCGAGTGGCCGCGGGAGGCCGGTCGCCATCCGGCTCAGGCAGACCTGGCGGAGGCCGAAAGCACCCAGGTTTGAGCCCAAATGGCTTCGGCTGATAGCGACGAGAAGGCTCGTCGGCCACATTCAACTCAGACCGAATCCACCGAACCCGAGGATACAGATCGGCCGCAAACACCGTCGCCGCCCACTGCCTGCACACTCTCATCAGGGCCACGCTCGACGATCGGCCCTTCTCAAGGGCCAGGACCTCGGACAACCCGTCGGTCAGAAAAAGGATCCGCTTGCCAAACTCGCTTAAACCCCGGCTCACATGCCGGACCCCCCAGACCAGAGCGCGCCCTTCCAAGATGGGCATCGCCCACCGACGCTTCCAGCGACCGGCCGAAACGGTGGTCCAGGATCCCTGAAGGATTTCGGGCCCGATCTCCGGGACGGCCCCGCTCCGATCCACCTCGCCGAGGGCTTCCAGGTGCCGAGCCGTCCCGAGGCGATCCAGGTCGTCCAGACCGGCCGCCGCGGCTAAGTTCAGCTCCTCCCGGAGCGAGGCGTCTCTCGGCCGAACGCGATCCTCGGCCCCTCGCGAGAAGCGCCACCGGTCCGACCACCGGCCAGCCTCCGCGATGGACTGAGGGTCACGCTCAGCCAAGCAAACACCACGACCCCAGGGGGGGGCGTCTGTACACCGCACCTTTGAGCTCCAAACGGCATCGAGGCGACGACGGAGGAGGGGGAGGAGACCTATTGCCCAACGAAGCTCCCTTCGCACGGCAGTCCACAACCTACGGCGAGTGTCGGCCCCCCGCTGACTGAAGGCGTACGCAGCAGAGAACACGCACAAAGCCTCTGGCCGAATTCGAGCGGCGAACGTGAAATGTCCTATGATGGCCTCGAGGTCCCTGCCTGTAGCAAAGCCCTTCTCTAGGAGCCCCTCAATGCCGAGTCGGAGTCTCCACGCTCTGCGAGGGCTCACACGAACCTGAGGGCACTCGTCACTGAATTCCCATCCCAAGACGGACCCACCGACTGAGCTCTCACGAGGATGCATGCTGAGCCCAGCGGCGGTCAGGGCGTCTAAAACGGAATCGGCCACAGCGTCGACCTCCTTGGCCTGGCGCCCAATGGCCGCGAAGTTGTCTACGTATTCAGTGTGAGCAAACCCCGAGCGGCCCAGACGCACCCCGGGTTTCTTATCCGAGAGCTTGTTAGAGAGGGACACGCCGGGCTGCCGAAAGGCATGAAATTCATGAATTCGCTGGCACCACCACATGGCGCGATTCCACCCCATCGGCACAACACGCAGGTGTGGGTACACGAGCTGGGTCGGAGAGACAGGGGCGCCGTCGAGCTCAACGACTCCGGCGAGCCCAGCGGTGACAGGGCGGAGACAGAAAAAGGGGACGAGCTCAGGAGGGAGGAGGAGGTGGTAAAAGGCATCCTGGATGTCGACCTGAGCAAGGCACACTGGGGGCCCAGGGTCAACCTCGAGGGACGCGAAAGATCCGCCTGTGGCAAGGTCGACAGGATCAGGAGAAGCGAAGCACAAGTTAGACAACCGAGCGTCGACAATCAATCTTTGCTTGCCGTTCTTTTTCCAAACAGTAAACAAGCCTACTCGGGGCGACCCGCGCCGCCTCCACTCGAGCATGCCCGCGCCGTCAAGGGCCACGAGGAGGCGCGCATACCGGCGCGGCCTCCCCTGCAGCGAAGGATCGTAGTACGGACGCTTCAAGGCCGACTCGGCCACCCGCGCCGCCGCCTCCGATGGAGGCAAGACTTTGTCTTTCAGAAAGGCATCGACTACCATTGGGCCCTCATCCCCGAGCAAGGTTGTCAGCGCTCGAGGACCGTCCCCACCAGCAGGCAGGGACAAGAGAGAAATGTCGAGCCGAGCGGCAGACACCTTCTCGCCGGTGTAGCTGCGCTTGGCCAGGAGCCCCGCGAGGGCTCCCTGGCGAGTCAGGTCGGCGGGCGGCCGTCCGAGCTCAGCTACCGCAGCCTGGATCATGCCCAAGCTGCGCTCCTGCCCGGCACTGGCCCGCTGTCCCTGAGGATGCGGATCGGCAGACCCGCGGTCGAGCTCGTTCAGCGTGATCGCGCAGCAGCGAGCCCAGTCTTCGCAATGAGCCCGCTCCCCTCGGCGGCGCTGCCCCCGACGAGACTTTGGCTGACCGCCATCGTCGCTGCCCATGCTCGGCAGGCGGTAGTGAGGCAAGGGAAGTAGATCACGATTGACGACCCTGCCCTCGTGTGAGCCACGTACAAAGGCCGCGCCGGGGCTCATGTCCAGCGGCCCCCCTGCATACTCGCCGTGGGATCGGGGGCTCCCACGGCGGCCCCATTCACTGGTCATGCTTGCCCGCGAGTCGCCGTCCCTCGCGGGCTTCCCTCATCTGCTTCCTGATGCCAGAGTCCCGCTCCAGCTCGGTGGCGAAGTAGGACAGCAGCTCCGGCGCCACCATCACCTCTCCGTCCTCGGGCGGCTTCCCGGAGAGGTCAGCCATCTCCCCCAGGCGCGCGCCCTTGCCGCCCTTGCTGTCCTGATGCTTGCCGCCGTCCGCCTGCCAGCAGACCTCGTAGTAGAAGCACTCGATGAGCCGCATCCGTCGCTCGATGTACTCCGCCGCCGCCACGTTCACCACGTCATACTGGTCGGGGCGCTCGAGGGTCTTCGCCAGCGTCTCGTGCTCGGATACGCCCCACTGGTCCATGGCCAGCCTGCTGTCGGCTCGCCAGCGCCGACTCCAGCCCACGGGCCCCTCACTCCGACGGTCAAGGAACCTTGTGCACCACTCCGTCGTCTGCGGGCCCGACGAGGGCCAGTCCGTCTGCTTCACCGCGCTCACACCGCGCGTGACGTCGCGCCAGGGGCGGTGGCCGTCACCTCGAGAGTCCCTCTGCATCTTCAGCAGCCACGCGTCATGATGGGCCTCCCTCGACCTGTACACCTCCACAACGCCGTCGCCGACGTCCCCCATCAGCACGGATACCCCCATCAGCACGATCACTCCCTTGCGGCCCGACACCATCTCCGACCCGCTGATCGTCTCGTCGTCCCCTCGATCCACGCTGCCTCCAGGGTACACCACGCTCGCGGCCGCCACCCAGCGCACCGTGTCGACCGTCACCGGCTGCACCGTCGGCCCCGCTGGCGGGCGGACGTCGCGGCTGACGCACTCGTGGCCCTGGAGCGCCGCCGGGCCCAGCCCACCGTCCTCGCCCTCGCCGGGAGCCCCCGGCGCGGGCGGCTGGGCCGGCACGTAAGCGGGCGCTCCCGCCGCCACACGGCCAGCGCCGCCGGCCTGGGCCGCGGCCGGCTTGGCGCCAGCGGCGCTCGCGGCCCCAGCGGCGCCTCCAGCTCCCCACACGGCGATGCCGTAGCCGCGGCGCTGGTCCTCTAGCCCGGCGGCGTAGGCTCCCTCCTGCATCCGTTTGCCCAGCGTCCCCGCCGACGGGGGCTGATCGAAGTCATAGATCAGGTTCCGAGGTACCCTCTCCGGCACCTCGTTGTTCGGCCCCAGACATCGCACGGCCACGGCGTCGCTGAAGTCCTCGAGGTACATGTTACCATCCGGCGACAGGTCCTGCCGGCCTGGCGACTCGGCGACCTCCGCCTTGGCCGTGCCCTGCGGGCTCTCGGGCGGCGGCGGGCACACCGGTGCCGCCGGCGCCTGGGGGCAGGCGCGGGCCTCCGCGGCCGGCACCGCCGGGCAGGTGACGCTCACCTGCGGGCGCGAGACCGCCGGCGCTGGCGGACACGTGTCCGCCAGCGCCGGCGTGCAAGTCGCCGCCGGCGGGCGGGGCGGCGATGCCGGGCACGTCGACGACCGGCACCTCCCCGGCCACGCGCCGCCCAGGCTGGCCACCCCCAGCACGGCGGCCCGGGCAAGCTGCCCCAGCATCAAGGGCCCCTGGTCCGTTTCCCCCCTGCCCCCCCGGGGAGGGGGGGGGCTCGAGCCAGGAAAAACTACGGATCGGTGTTGACGGCGTGTTTCGGTCTTCAGCATATCATTAATCAGCAAGCTTATACATATATATATATATATATATATATATGTATATGTGTATGTGTATGTGTATGTATGTATGTATGTATGCATGCATGCATGCATGTATGTATGTATGTATGTATATATGTATATACGTGTATGTATATATACACACATATATACACGTCAACATATTATTAATATATATATATATATATTATATATATATTATATACGCCCCCCCCCCAGCGACCCCCCAAAACGCCCAAAACACGAAGCCGCGGTCTTGAGATGCTGGCACCGAACAGCCGCAGACACATGGTCTGTCACAGCGGGCTGTGACCCGAGAAGTATTCCTCCTCATCTTACTCTCCCTCATCCTCCCCCTCCTCTTCCATCTCCCCCCTCGCCTCCTGCTTCTCCTGTTACTCGCCCTCCTCCTCCCTCCTCCCTCGTCCTCCACCTTCTGTTCTTCCACCTGGTCCTCTCCCTGTTGGAGAACTCAACTTTGGCCTGCCATCCAGGCTGACGAACTCATCCGCTCGGCCCATCCGTCACGGGCACCGTGCGCGCAAGCATATCGGTTTCGGCCGAGGCCACGAAACACTGTGTATCACAGGTTTTTCTGGTTTTCTGGTCTGGGAACCAACGAAACACTGCGTATCACAAGTTTTTCTGGTTTTTCTGGTTTCTGGAGCTGAAATGCTCGCCGCGGCCTCGCCCCACCGCTCCCCCACCTCCTGTTTGTCGGCACCTGAAAACCAAAAAAAACAGAAAAACCTGTGATATACAACGCTGGGGGCCCCGTCAAACTTTCCAGCCCTCGAAGGGGAGTACAGGCCCCCACTGTGGGCCCCATTGGAGGGGGGAAGGGCGAGCAACCAGCAACTGGCAACGGTCCCTGCCGTCAGCCCGTGTGCTCGATTAGCGCTACCAATGGTGCTGGTGAGCATTCCTGACCACAACATGTTGTCCCCCCCTTCCCCTGGACCTGGAGCTACCGAGGAACCCCACATACTTAATTTAAATCTTATGTGTTCGTCTGCGCTACCCCCCCCCCCACGCCTGCTAGGCTGTGCGCCAGTGTCGTGGATAGCGGCCGAGCTGAGAGACCACCCCCTGCGCACCCCCTGTGGTGTCGAGAAAGTGCCACGCCTGCTAGGCTTTGCGCCAGTGTCGTGGATAGCGGCCGAGCTGAGAGACCACCCCCTGCGCACCCCCTGTGGTGTCGAGAAAGTGCCACGCCTGCTAGCCTTTGCGCCAGTGTCGTGGATAGCGGCCGAGCTGAGAGACCACCCCCTGCCCACCCCCTTCGGTGTCGAGAGGGTGCCACGCCTGCTAGGCTTCGCGCCAGTGTCGTGGATAGCGGCCGAGCTGAGAGACCACCCCCTGCGCACCCCCTGTGGTGTCGAGAAAGCGCCACGCTTGCTAGCCTTTGCGCCAGTGTCGTGGATAGCGGCCGAGCTGAGAGACCACCCCGTGCCCACCCCCTTTGGTGTCGAGAAAGTGCCACGCCTGCTAGGCTTTGCGCCAGTGTCGTGGATAGCGGCCGAGCTGAGAGACCACCCCCTGCGCACCCCCTGTGGTGTCGAGAAAGTGCCACGCTTGCTAGCCTTTGCGCCAGTGTCGTGGATAGCGGCCGAGCTGAGAGACCACCCCCTGCGCACCCCCTGTGGTGTCGAGAAAGTGCCACGCCTGCTAGGCTTTGCGCTGGTGTCGTGGATAGCGACCGAGCTGAGAGACCACCCCCTGCGCACCCCCTGTGGTGTCAAGAAAGTGCCACGCTTGCTAGGTTTGCGCCAGTGTCGTGGATAGCGGCCGAGCTGAGAGACCACCCCCTGCGCACCCCCTGTGGTGTCGAGTAAGTGCCACGCCTGCTAGGCTTTGCGCCAGAGTCGTGGATAGCGGCCGAGCTGAGAGACCACCCCCTGCGCACCCCTGTGGGTGTCGAGAAAAGTGCACGCTGATAGGGCTTTGCGCCAGTGTCGTGGATAGCGGCCGAGCTGAGGAGACCACCCCCTGCGCACCCCCTGCGGCGTCGCGAAAGTGCTACGCCTGCTAGGCTTTGCGCCAGTGTCGTGGATAGCGGCCGAGCTGAGAGACCACCCCCTGCCCACCCCCTTTGGTGTCGAGAGAGTGCCACGCCTGCTAGGCTTTGCGCCAGTGTCGTGGATAGCGGCCGAGCTGAGAGACCACCCCCTGCGCACCCCGTGTGGTGTCGAGAAAGTGCCACGCATGCTAGGCTTTGCGCCAGTGTCGTGGATAGCGGCCGAGCTGAGAGACCACCCCCTGCGCACCCCCTGTGGTGTCGCGAAAGCGCCACGCCTGCTAGCCTTTGCGCCAGTGTCGTGGATAGCGGCCGAGCTGAGAGACCACCCCCTGCCCACCCCCTGTGGTGTCGAGAAAGTGCCCCGCCTGCTAGGCTTTGCGCCAGTGTCGTGGATAGCGGCCGAGCTGAGAGACCACCCCCTGCCCACCCCCTTTGGTGTCGAGAGAGTGATTGAGCCTGCTAGGCTTTGCGCCAGTGTCGTGGATAGCGGCCGAGCTGAGAGCCCAACCCCTGCGCACCCCCTGTGGTGTAGAGAAAATGCCACGAGCTGTGCTGTGCTGTGCTGTGCTGAGCTGAGCCGTGCTGGGCTGTGCTGGGCTGTGCTGAGCTGAGCCGAGCTGTGCTGTGCTGAGCTGAGCTGTGCTGTGCTGAGGTGAGTTGAGCTGAGCAGTGCTGTGACGAGGGGGGGAACAGTGAAGTGTGTGTGTGTGTGTGTGAGTGAGGGGAGGAAGAAAGAGAGAGGAGGGGAGGTGTGAGGAGACGCGGGTGCGGCGCGGCAGGGAAGAAAACCAGAACCCCACGAAGCATGTGGGGGAACAAAAACATGGAAATCAGCGATTTCGGCCTCTCGGGCCGCTCCTCGGCGGCATCTTCAAGCCTCTTGGCGCGTCTTGGGGGACGTCCTCGGCAGCTTCAGACGCATCGCGAGCCGCTGGAGACACCTGGAGGCGGTCTTCGGAGCGTCTCGAAACCGTCTGGGGACGCTGCGACAGCTGTCGGAGAGCTCCTGGAGCCTTCTTGCGTCTCTCTTAGGCCGTCTGGGGGCTCTCTTGGGAGCCTCTGGGGCCTTCTTGGAACGGTCTTGGGAGCCTCTGGGGCGGTCGTGGAGCGTCGGAAAGCCGAAACAAGGAGAAAGCCAAAAACATTGGAACAAAAACAAGTAAAATCAACGATTTTGGCCTCTCGGGCCGCTCTAGGGCGGCATCTTGAAGCGTCTTGGGAACTTCTCGAGAACGTCCAGGGCTG